CATCGCCATCATCAAACTTCCACCATGGACTCTTCCTTCTGGAGCTAACCCCAGTCCTGCTTCATACTCATTGAGATCAACATCAGTCTCTGGAGATCCTGTAGCACTTCTTGCTTTAATTGTATCGATGTTCATGTTGTCTTGAGAACCGCTATAATCCTCGTTCTCTGTTTCGCTGCTGCTTACTCTTGGTTCTTGGCTCTCCGAAGTTACAGTCATTCCTCCATGAACCCGGTTATCCTGAACCAGACTGTTATGGAGTGCACAAAGACCAGTCTTACCTCGAGCAAACGAGGTACAAGGACCAGCAGAGGACTGTTCCGCATACTCAGTCTCGGGATGACCCCATGCACACCGTTTCCCTCCTCCATGTGCTTTGCAAAAGTCAGTACTACCTTGAGCACTTTTGCCACATCCTTCAGACTTGCATCTCTTTCCTCCACCATGTCTGACACAGAAATCAGTCCTTCCTCTAGCACTCTTTGTACATTCTGGAACCGCACATCTCTTACCACCGCCATGAGCCACACAGAAATTAGTACCGCCATGAACACTCTTGGAACATGGATCACCTCCTTCAAAGGCACATCTTTTACCTCCTCCATGTCCTTTACAGAACGGCGTGCTTCCTTCTGCTCCTTTAGTGCAACCTGAGTGTGTACACCGTTTACCACCACCGTGTGCCTTGCAGAACATTGTACTCCCTTGTGCTCCTTTTGTGCATCCATCAGATTGACATCGCCGACCACCACCATGAGAGATGCAGAGTCCTGAAAGGCCTTCAGCGCTTTTAGTGCAGTTCTCTCTTTGGCATCTCTTGCCTCCACCGTGCCTGATACAGAGTCCTGATCTTCCCCTAGCAGCTCGTGTGCAATCTTCATGGCTGCATCTTCGACCTCCTCCATGAGCTATACAGAAGTCAGTACGGCCTTCTGCACTTTTGGTGCATCCGAGAAATTCACATCGACGACCACCTCCATGGGCTTTACAGTAGACAGTTCGACCTTCAGCGCCCTTGTGGCAACCATGTTTCTGGCATCTACGTCCACCACCATGGGAAATGCAACGGCCAGATGCGCCTCTTGCTCCCTTTTGACATCCTTCTACTTGACATAACTTGGAACTAGAAGAATTCTTAAGCTGTGGCTTCAGCTGCTGAGATAAACCGGAAGTACATGTACCCGAGCTAATTGGTGTTGTTTCTGCCGTGCTAGATGACAGTTCCAGAACATGGGCAGCAGGAATGATGACATTCTTTGGAACATGGCCAGAGAAAGAGCTTGTTTCTTTGCTTGAAGAAGCTTGCAATGTTGGTAATCCAAACCCTGGCCTCCAACCACATGATGTGGATTCTTCATTAGTTGCACGCAGCATCTCCGCAAGAGTTTGAAATCGGTTGGCGTGCTGCTGAACCGCAGTGATCTCAGATTGACAGGAACCTCCACCAGAAAGACTCAGTTCAAGATCAAATTTTGGGGAGGGGACCTGCAACCCTTTCATTTTCAAATTAGCTGGCTTTTTGTTGCTAGCCGCCGGTTTCTCGTTGCCAAGATGGAGACTAAAGTCGAGCTCGATATCCATAGAGGACGCCTCCTCAGTTTCTTTAGCAGAAGATAAACTCGTGCAAGCAGTTGCCGAACTCCCTTTGCTATCAGAAGAGCTTGATGAGTGACCGAGTCTTAATGAAAGTAAGGAATCAGATCCATCAATCAGATTCCATTTCCTTTTGATTCCCTTGGCATTGGACAACGGAGAGGCCAGGGAATCAAGACGCAGCGTAGTATCCGCGGCCTCGGCGACATCAACTTGAAGAGAACGGCCCAATATCTTAAAAGAATTAGAAGAGGAATTACCAGCACTGTTTTGGAATCTAGTATGCATGGTCACAACTAAAAGTGAAAACTTTGGTCAAGAACACACCAAAAAGCAAAGACGGGGAAGCCAATAAAGTACACAGCAGAACCTTCCGGGTTAAGAGAATAAGCCACAGCTCAAAAAAGAGTTAGAAGACCTTATAAGCATCTCCACCGCCGCTTACGAATCCTGAGGTATCGCATCGATCCATCTTCAAATAAAGTTACAAAATCAAATCTGGTTTCAGCTGATCCGGAAGTTGCTCTCACTAACCAAAAGTTTAACAATTCTCAACCTTCACCAAAGGATTAAGGTAGCAACTAACCATCCTGCTTCATTCATAGAACAGATAATAAACAAGTGAGTGCCTAATTTCATAGCAGTGAGATATTCAAATATACAGAAGACAGAAACTGAAATCATTTAGGACAAAAACAAGCACAACAAGAACTCGGAATTCAAAAAAAAAAAACAGAACTGTTTGATTCGTTAGTCAACCTCAACGTACATGAAACAAAACAAGATCTAATTTTCACCACAATTGAAAAATTCTCAAAGAGATATTATAACACAAGTGATGGATAATTCAATAGCTTATCGATTTGCTTTAGAGAAATCAAAAGACAAACAACAGAGAGAGAGAGAGAGAGAGATAAATCAAAACCAGAGTAGCTCAAAAAGTCTTTCTCGATTTATACCGACACATAATTTTTTCCCAAAAATATATAAAAAGTACTATAAAAGCAGAACAAGGAAACAAAACACAAACGAGATACTTCAACTTCCGAGACATCGATCTTAGAGTCATCATCATATATGTTTTTTTTTTGTTGTTCTCGAATAAAAAAAAATGAAAACCAATTTAAATGAATTACTCAATCAAACAAACATACAAATCAATCGAAGAATAATTAAAACACAACCGCGATGCGAATCAAAGAAGAAGAAAATTACCTCAATTTTGAATCTGATTACGAAAACTTTCACGGCATCAAATTGATAATTTAAAATCGGGATTATCTCTATCTCTCTCTCTCTCTCTGTGTAGATAAAGGAAATTGAGGTAAATTCAAAAGATATTGGTCTAAAGAGGGGTGTAATGAAAAATCTAGGGATTAGCAGCGCCGGCGAGAGAGATAGAGAGATGTAAAAATAGGAAAGAGAGAGGCTTTGTATTGTAAAGAAGGAGAAGAAGAAAGGAGTGGAAATTATGGAATCTGAGAAAAAAAAAAAAGAAGAGGATGAAAATTATAAGGGCTTACGAGACACACACACACACTGGTTCCCCCACACGTGCCTTCAGAATCTTTCGCACGTGCTTAGAGATAAGTATTTTTTGATGAAAACTAAAAACAAAACAGAGAAATTAAATCATTACTAATTCATTTTGTTAATCACCAGCTATAATTATTATTTAATTTGTTTTAATTAAAGGGGGGGGGGGGAAACTAAGCTACCCTGTCATAACATGACATTTGGTTGTGTTCTCCCACTTCCTCATTGTTAAAAATTATTCTTTATGTTATTAGAGACCATATTATAATACTAATGATTTTGTTTCAAGATCTTATTTTTGTTGTTGTTGTCAATGATATGTATAATGCAGAAAATGACACAATTATGACCACATTAAAAGATATTTATATCATATTGTTTTTTTTAGATACTGGTATTTATAAGATTAACTTTTTAGTATTTTCAACATTTAAAAATATGTAAACAATAGGAAACAAATTGATAGATAAGTAACTGCATAACTGGTTTTCCAAAAATATTAGGAAATAATCTATCTAATAATTTAAATTATAATGGTATCCCTATAATTATCATATATATACACATGTAACTTAAAAGAGAAACTTAAATTGTTTTTAATAATTTCCCATTCATATGAAACTTATTATAAAATAGAAAAATAGTAATTGATTACATGAAAAGGTTAATTTAACATATACGAAATATAATTTTGGTTTGGATTAAGAAATTAAAAAATAGGAAACGTTATATAAGTTAATGGAGAGGAAGAGGCGGTAGAGTAGAGGGAGAGTCAGCATAAAAAGGAAGGGCTGAGTCTGAGTGACTACTAAAAGGTTGCGTGGCGGCTGGAGCTGCAGCGGCTCGTCACCGTTCCATTTTTTGGTTCTCTCATTTTAGTATTATTCAGAGTGTTGTTGTGTGGTCCCCCAATTTCTTTTTTTTTTTATAACTACTCCTCTGTGTGTATAAGCGACGTCGTTTCTTCGTAATTATGCAATCACTGTCCGAAAATAGGGAAAGCCAATACCAAAAAGGGTCCACGTACGATAAAAGAGTGGTTCTGGTTTTTTTTTTTAGCTTAATTTCTTTTTAAGAAGATTTCCCTTATGGTCAAATGTATTATCATTTTTTGATTCTCACACTTATTCCTTTTCTTTTCTTTTTTTTACATTTCTTCTATTTATAACTTTTTATTTTATTTTTTTAACTTTGGTTCAATTTTTGTTTCGTTTGTGTCATGTAACACTACTTAGCTTTGCGTATATGATCAGAACATGGCAAGCGAATTTTCTCCCAATTTTTTAATAATCAAAACCATTCACCAAAACAAACTTTCAACTAAAGGTGTGTCATTGTAGTACTGTTGAATTTATGTATTGGAAGAAACCCCTTCAATTTAATAATGTTTTTACATCGGAAGATTTTGGATTTTAATCCTAAAATAATACGATTTATTATTTATCAAAAACAAATTAAAGCTCGAACATGTTGTATATGGCTACTAAAAGATATTTCCGTTATTCTGCATACATTGCACACCTTTTGCTTTTCTTCTTCTAATCTTTTTTTTTTTAACCAAAACACATCGTCCTAAAATGAAATTGGGAGTGTGAACTTATAAAGCGTGTAAGTAAGTTTCTAAACTTTCTCATCTAACTTTTAATTTCATATGCACGATTGTAATCTTTTTATATTGTAATAGACTCACACACCTTTCTTTTAAACACGAATGCAGAATATCAAAAAAGAATATGCTCTAGACTACCATGTTCGACTCCTTTATATTCTTCCCCGTCCCCAACACGTGTATATGTTTGGACGCATCTTTCATAACATATAACCTATTAGCCTATCCTTCCTATCTTGACATCTAAGTAAATTCTAACCACTAAAAAACAAATTGTATTTCATTTCACTGTTAACATATGAAAACAAAAACAGCGAATTCACAGTATCGGTTAGCAGAAAGAGTGATGAATGAACAGTATATATAAACAAAAATTTAAAATAGTAGTGTATATTTTTTTTATACAAGAAATGAGAGAACTAAAAATATTATTATCGCTACTTACGTAACGATCTCAGCCACCGTCACAGCAGCAAACACGAGAAACAGAACTCCTCCGACATATGCAATTGCCTGTTTCGAACCAAACAACCATTTTTTTTATAAACATTTCCGTCTTAAAAGAACCACACAAACTTTCTCTCTATCTCTCTCCCAAAATTATACTTTCAAAATAGTCAAAGACTAGTCTTAAAACAAAAAAGTATAAGAGTATAATCTAAACTCTATATAAAGTCTTCATTCTATAAATCTACTATATATCTAATATACCTCAAGTCATTAGAACTAAAACACAAACACTAACCCTTGAGCTTCAAGCATAGATCATGAACCTTTAAACCTAAACAAAATGATCCATCCGTTTAATTTTAAGATATTTGTTCTTCCTCCGGCTAGTTTCATTTGTTCGGGAATAATAAGGTGCTGTTGACAGATTGGATCGGACATGGAAAAGGAATAAAAGATGTTTTTTTTTTTGACTCTTTTTGGTGCGAAGGAATAGATACCAAAATGATGTGGAAGACTTGAGATCAATGAACATAGAAGCTTGTTTCTTGCCACTTGCCATAGAATAAAAACCTTAATCTCTCTTACTTCCTCTCACTTTTTTCTTTCTTTCTATCAAGTTCAATCTCAGAACCCAATACGGGAGAGTAATAAAGAGATCCTTTGACTAAATTTAAACAAAACTCAAAAGATGTTTTTGGAACTTTTGTAAAACTAGGATAATAATAAAAGCTAGAAAATTGCCAATAGAATCTGGTTTTTGTGTAATAAAAGCTGAATATATCCTAGGATATGCTAACATTTAGTATATTCACCCTACATTTTCATGATAATTTAAGGACATGGATTTGTTTCATTTTTTAATAAACTTTTTTTGCTACTTTTTAATGCAACCATTAAAAATTTTATTCTTCTTAACCTTTTATTTGGTCAGGAATCAAAATTTATTCTTCTTCATCTTAGTATTAAATTCAATGCAAGTTTAGACGTGTAAGAAAAATCTAAGACTGGACATTATAATGAAAACATGAGTATTCTTCAAGTGCTTTTATGAATTCTAATGGTTTCTATGTCTAAGACTAGTTCGATCCTACTATGCATATATTGTCTATGTATGAATAGAGATAGATAGAGAGTGGAATTACCTTCTCTGATAAGAAATTTCCCAGCAAAGAACCTCCCAAAACCGCAAGCTGCAATTAATAAACCAGGGCTGCAAGTTAGAGTTCTTGTGTCTCCCCCAAGTTTCAGGAAAATTAAAAGGATCTCCTCTTTGATGGGGTTTTAACTTTAAGTCTTAATTTTTTCTTATAGATGCTTTTCAGTTTAATGTGTTCACATAAAAGTTTTTTTAAAAAAGAAAAAGAACTCACTAGAGTCGCAGCACCATGACCCACCAATGCTCCAGCGATGACACCCAATGGCGATGATGCAGCCGCAAGAGCTTCAAAGAATTAAACGATTTACATACAGTTTGGACCTGAGGTTTCGATTTATTAATGAAGTTTGTAACATTTGACTCTCACCAATTGTTGAGAAGAAGGATTTGTCACCCCATTCCGCAACAAAAACCAAGGCGAAAGTGCTGACGATGGTGCTTGCGGCTGCCACTATCCCCGCTCCATTACCTGAAAGCTCTGAAACTGCTAGTTCTGCCTGTTGAAAAGAAGTAAAAAAAATATTGACTTCTTGAATGTTGCATGGGAATATAAAAGTGAAAGGCTAAAATAGGCTTTACTTCTTTCTGTTCTTCCTCAGCTTTACCCTCATCTGAAGCAGCGTCTAATAACGTTGATACACCGAAGTAAACCTAAAAAAAATCGTGAATACTATTTATTTCATAGTTAGGCCTATACAATATGAATTATCCAACCAAAACAGAACCAAAAACCAGGTTTGGAAACCAATCAAAATATTCATTTGCTGTAGTCAGTAAACTTTTTCTACCTTACAAAGTTAAAAACCCCAACAGAACCTGGAACTCATACTTCATCAAAAGTTTTAAAACCATTCGAGTCAAGGGTATCCTTTATATAAAACAAAACCAAACTCAGACTAAAAGGGTCAGAAGTCAGAACTACAGTTGGTTTATCATCTACTTTGGAGGATAAACATTCTAAACCAAAACAACCCAAAAGGTCCAATCACACACCACTGGCTAACACAACTCTGTTTAGAAAAGTGAGTAAAGATTTACCAGAAGACAAACTGCTGCAATATCATCTAGAGGCAAATCTGTTTCACCAAACCTGGTGTTTTCAAGTCACTGACATTCAGATTCACCATGAAACTTAAATCTGAAAAATAAGTCTTTCCAGAGTTTTTAAACCTGAAGGGAAGAATTTCATCAACATAATGGAAAGTTCGTCCAAGCACTACAGATATAATCGTCATTATCCTGCAAAATTACCAAATTTTATAACATTGTTGTACTGAATTCAAAATAACTTTTGGTTTCACCACAAGATTCACGGACCCTAACGCCTCTGTTTGAGAAAGAAAGCATACCCAAGAGCGCCAAAAGTCCCCACAAATACAGTAGCAGCAGAGTTCCTTGCTGCTAAAAGGGCCTAAATAAACGCATGAAAACTTATCACAATCGATTGAATGTTAACTGTTTGATGATGACAGGGTGATTCTAAACCGTAGATTAACATCTAAAAATATATAGTTCAAAAGCATACCGCAATGAAGAAAGTCTTGTCTCCAAGTTCAGAGAAAAAGATAAGCAAGAACGCCTGAAGAGAGACATAGACAGCGCAAAATGTAAAATTTAAAGGACAAGCACTAAAAAGACATAGTTCCTGGTTCTATTCAAAAGGAAGATTCTCTAACCGAAGCAAAACCTGAGCTAATATCTCCTAGGTCTCCAAGAGAAGTGACAATTGACTGCGTCCCATTGGCAATTGAAGAAGCTGCAAAAGCTGGATCATTGCCGAGTAATGCGACTGAACCCGATACCGCCAAGAACTTAAGAACTCTCTGAGTCTCTCTTCTTGAGTGAGCTATCGATAGCTCAACCGAACCATCAAGATTTCTATCTTTTTCTTCATCAGAATCAGCTTTCTGACAAATCAACAAAAAACCTTTATTCAATCCACCTCGTACTTGAACCTACCCAATTAGCGTATACATTTAACAACAGTAGCCTCTCCTCTATAGTTCAATCTTCCAATTAACCCTACATTACCACTTTAGGTGAATCTACATCTAACAAGCAATTTTGAAATAGCCTTTGCCCTCTACACAACCTCTCCCAATTTCAAACATATACCATCAGAGAGATTAGTCGAACTAAAAACAACAATCAAAGTCACCTCGATGTAACAAGCGGCATTTCGTCGGAAACATCGTAACTCTAGCTGCTTAGACTCATTCCGACGCAATTGACTCAAACATCTGCACAGAATTGCGAAACAACATAAACCCCAAAATTCCATTCGCATTAGCAAAAAGTAAAAAATGTAGATGAACAAAAAAACATACCTAGAGAAGCATTGATCACGAACCCTAAACCCGATCGAAATTGGACAAGCGGAGGAGACGCATCTCCTCGACGATGAGCAAGAAGAAAAAGAAGGAGAAGCACACGAATCGGATTTGGGAGGCCTCGGGTTTCGAAATGGAAGAAGACGAAGCGAATCGGGGAGATTCAAAGTGAGCATTTCTCTCTAAACCTCTCTCCTCCTGAGCTTTTGTGCTTTCTTCTTCTTCTTCTTCACAGTGAGATTCTTTACTGCAAACCTTTGGCTCTGTTTGGTTCTCTGAAGATAGTGAAAAAAAATCCACAGAAACAAGTTATGCGCGCGCGTCCACGTATTACCCATCGCACGTGTGTGTACCAGGCGTTACGGGCCGACATCTGACTTTTATGTTGGGCCAACAATAGGCCCTATATACGTGAAAAGGCCTTCTAACATGTTAGGGCCTTATTGAGAATTGGAGTTAGCTCTAGCACTGACCCGACAACTTTTTCGTGATTTAGATAAGAAAATATCAGCTTCAACTAGACAATGTTGTTTAGGTAGGTGTGTATGCGTAATGTAACTTTTTTTGTTTCGTCAACAAGACAATGTTGTTGCTTTATTTGCTTTTCTTCACTAAATGGTTTCACGATATTGTTAAATAAGTTATGATTAAGAATCACATTTAAAATTCTGCAATTTGATTTGCTTTTCTTTGGCTGCCAAATTGGCAATTTGCTAATTAAGTCGGCCAAAACTTACTTTCATCAAACTCCAAAAATATATGCGTTACTGCTTACTAGTTCTTATTCTTATCAGGGATCTTAAGAAACTATGTACATGTTTTGTATGCAACGAATTTAGCCTTAGGGATCTTATTTGTATCAAATAAATTTCGATATTAAAATATCTAAATTAGAGAAATTCCCTCTAATGCTCATACTTTTTTTTTTCATAAAACACCACAATTTTTTTTCAAAAATACCACAAAATATTATTTTCCAAAAATATCATAAACATAAAACATTGATTTGAAGGTGTATAATTTCTTTTTAGGTTTGTATTGACTATTTATATTTAGGGTATAGTTTTTAGAGGTAGGGTTTAGTGTTTAGGATTTAGAAAGTAGTTTTGATTGTTAAAAACAATAATTTTATGGTATTTTAGAAAAATGTATTTTTTGGTTTTTTTGGAAGAATAAAACTTATAATGGTATTTTTTCAAAAATACCAATTTTCATGGTATTTAATTATTAGAATTCCCCTATCAATTATTGTATAGAAGAAAGTCTAGTCAATATCTATACTATTAAAGCTGAAGTACACAATGAATTTACACTATAGTTTCAAAATGAAATTTTTATCAATTCTAAATGGGTAAACACGCGGATCTAACTAAATAATCGGAAATGTTAATCGGGTTTAAATGTTTTAATCACATCCGTTTATCACAGAAATGAATAACACGCGGATCTAACTAATCATTCGGATCTATTACTCGGGTTTAATATGTTTAATCACATCCGTTAATTATTATGCTTTAATCTCATTCGTTCATTGTTTATACGACAATTAGCATAAGATACAATTAACATGAAATCATATCCGTTAATTCACAAGTTTTAATCTCATTTGTTCATTGTTTATACGAATCAGAAAAATAAGATACAATTAACATGAAATCACATCCCTTAATTAACAACTATTAATCACCTTCGTATATTGTTTATACGAATTAGAAAAACAATGAACAATTAACATGAAATCACATCCGTTAATTCACAAGTTTTAATCTCATTTGTTCATTGTTTATACGAATCAGAAAAGTAAGATACAAATAACATGAAATCACATCCCTTAATTAACAACTTTTAATCTCATTCGTATATTGTTTATACGAATAAGAAAAACAATGAACAATTAACATGAAATCACATCCGTTAATTCACAAGTTTTAATCTCATTCGTTCATTCTTAGCATTAATTAAATAGCTTGATCCGCAAG